GGTTCTTATATGTGAAGTGGTGTAATATTATTCCTCAGTAGACTATGATAAGTGAAAGATGCATATTGTAATCTCTTGCATAATCATAAAAAAATTTCAAAGGGCTGAAAAGCCAATAGAGGAGATAAATAGAACACTGAAAAACAAAACAAAGCAAAAACAACTTGGTTAATCCAAAAGAAGACAAAGGAGGAATAAAGGAACAAAGAAAAGATAGAAAACAAATTGGAAAATGTTAGACCTATATCCAACCATATCAATAATTATAATAAATGTGAAAAATTAAATACTCTAATAAAAAAGCAGAAATTTTCAGGCCGGATATAAAAGCAAGGTCCAGTGATGTGATGTTTACATGAAATGCACTTTAAATACAATGACAGAGTTACTGAACCTCAATTTTTTTTGACTATAAAATAACAGTAACCATTTCAGAGAATTGTGAGGATTGAGTACACACATGTTGAGTAATTAGCATAGTGCTTGGGACATGGTAAGTGCTCAGTTAAGGATATTAATAGCTAAACATATACGTGTGTGTGTGTATGTATACATGCATATACTAGATGTTCTGTCAATCATATTTTTCATAAATTCAGAATAGCCTACTCTTCCAATTCATTATTTTAAGAATGCATGTTCAGAATATATCTAATTTTTCCTTTTTTCTTATTTTTAGTTTGTTTTCTGCACTGTTTGGTGTGGGCAAATGGCACATAAAACACACTGCCTCATGGAGACATACTATTATCAAATATTTGCGTTGTTATCACACATTTTAGTAAGTTCCATAAAATAAAAATAAAGGATTCAAAGATAGATTCAAATTTAGATGCAGGAGTGAGATCAAGCATATGTATCTGTGTGTGTGTAATATTTAGGCTGAAAAGAATCAGTAGAGTTAACCAGGCAAGAGAGAGGAAAATAACTTTCTAGACAGAGGCAAAAGCATGCGAAGGTCCTGAGGTGGGAAGATACTGGACTGTTCAAGGAACACAGGCATGCAGGAATGGAGCAAAATGAGGACAGAGGTGGGCAGGGGCCGGCTGAACTCCTGGGCCTGCACGTTTATGTTAAGTTCATTGGATTTTGCCCAAGAAAAATCACTCCGGCTGCTGTGCAGATAATGAATTAAAGGAGGTCAAAATTGGAAAGACCAGTTGAGCTCTAAAATTATTGTAGTCCAAGCATAAGATGATGGTGGCTTAGAAGCGATAGCAGTGAAAAGGAAAAGGATACATGAAAGGGTGAAAGAAGGACCCAAAGGACACATTTCACACACAGGCTATGTGGGAGCAACACGGCTGGTTTATTCACCTGGGAGCGGGTGGGCTGAGTCCGAAAAGAGAGTCAGCACAGAAGGGGGTTTAGTGAGGTTTTTATACATGGGCATAGTCGACCCCCTCCCACCTGCCCTGTTCAGTTCTTTGTTTCTGGGCCAAACTGGCGGGTGAAGAATTGCTTCTTGCTACGTGCAGCAGAGGACGGTGGGCAGAACAGCTGTTTGTAGTAAATTCTTCAAACAACCAACTCCTACGACCCCTTTTCCCCAGTCGCATCCATCCTTCTGTTCTGGCGTCATCCTTATCAGGAGAGCCAGGGAGAGACAGCCTTGGTCTCCATCAGGGACGGAGAAGGAAGGAATGCTGGCTGTAGCTGTCTGTCAGATCTATTAGGGAGAGATAAGCTTTGTCTCGATCAGGGAGGGAGGGGGAGGAATGCTGGCGGTAGCCATCCGCCAGATCTACAAAGTCCAGGGACTCCCCAGACTCCTGCGGCTATTGTTTTACAAGCCTAAGTTTTGCATTAACCACATTCTGTCCTACACATACTTTTCAGGTTCCCACCTGGAATAAACCTAACAATAC